TGTCATGGGCATTTGCCCACTCCTTTTTATTAGGAATCTTTTTCCTTCTTTTTCTCTCCACTTCTCTTGTCACTTTTTGTCTCTGCATCCAGTCTTTTTTCTTATCCTCAAATTTGCTTTGTAGTATTGAAATGTAAATTGTCTTTTCTTCCACTTGAATTAAATCATACTCTTTTATTTTGTGGAAGTCCATCTTTAAGTCTTTGTCCTCAGATTTATGTTCAGTCATCTCTGCTGTATTCTCCTGAGGGTTTTTTTTTTTTTTTTGGAAGTAAAATTAAATTGGAGATAAGTTGATTTATACTTTCAAAGTTCTGTATTTCTTTGTAATTTGAGATCATTGTCCTTTGAATTGGTTGCAGCTTATCATATATTTCCTCTTGTGAAGTATACATTGTTTCTGTAAGTTGCACTTTATCTAAACAGCTGTTTATTAAAACTTTGAAGGCCATAGGGAGAGATTTCATAATCCTCATCCACCAGTAGGTGTCAGCATTGGATCATTTTTCAGATCATTCTAATCTTTTTCCTCCTTAAAGGGTTAGATTCTCCGCTTCCAATAGCCAAAAGGTGTGGGGGGGGGAACGTCCCTTTTTCACTCTCAGAGGTTTATTTTTGCTTCTTGGGAGTTCTCCTCTTCAGGAAAGTAAGTAGGATAGAGAAAAATCAATTCTTACCCAGCTTCAAATATGCTGTTTACAATCAGCTTAAAGTAGAGCTTTTGACTTCTGTTGCTTGCAGCTGGGGCTAGACAATGGAGTTAGCTAGCCTTTCTCCTGTTGGTTTCTGGAAGGCTTCTCTTGGACCAATCAGGGAGATCGCCATCCCTCCTAGGTCCCTGGGACTACCTTCCTTCATTGCCACATCTCCGGGGCATCTTCTGGCCCATTTAGGGTCCCCAAACAGGAAGAAACTCAGCTGGAGGGCTTGGCATCCCGAATCCCTCAACTGCTTCGCTGCTCACAGGATCCGGAAGTCCAAAAATTTAGAATTATTTAGGCTAAAGCCAATTATGTTAAACATTACAAAACTCTAATTTACTAGGACATAGAGCAGAAATACACTTTTGGGAGTAAAAAAGCTTCAGGGCTTTTTAGCAGTGGTTGTTGTGGAGCAAGCTAAACTTGTATTAAATTGTTTCCTCAAATGTTTATAATCATGTATTGCTACAAATATAAATGAAACATTTCAGTAAAAATTAACAAACAAGTGGCTTGTTTCAGAGAATGGGATATATACATGTATGTATGATATTGTGGTGCCATTATCTTTATGTAAAATATGCTGGACTCTGTCAGACATTTAGCTTTTCATTTATTTCAGCCCAGCAGCAACTTAGGCAATGAAACACCAGTAATATTGTAACGTATTGATGGAAGTTAGCCCCCCCAGAAGGAAATATTAAAAAGGGCAGAAAAATATATTTTTTCCCCAAAAGGACTTTTTAAAACCAAACCTGGCCCCAAATCTATCTCTCTGCCCCAAGCAAGACTTTAGCCCTATACAAATGCAGATGTAAAACCATCAGAAAGTTGGAGCCAAAGCAATCAAGAAGGCAAAAGAGAAGATCTGCATACCCCACCCAAACTCTAGGAATCAGCCCCATCACCTGGGAAGCAGGATATGATAATAGAATAAACCACAGATATCAAGGCCTAGACAAACACTCAGAAACAGCCTCAAGGTTCATGCCACAGGAACAGGAAACTTCCAAACAAAAGGCTAGAGGGGGTATAAAACCTACTGCCCATGTGCTCAATCTCTCTGCTCTCCTTCTCTCTCCTCTGCACTTTCCTGAAGAACCATCTTTCTGCAATAAACTGTAACCTTCTTCCCAAAGCAGTCGCCATGTTTGCTTATTTATTCCCGGCTTGGATGAACCAGGATGAAGACTTTACTTCTAACAGTATCATGAAACAGCCTGACAGCTGTGGATGGAAATTTCTTTCTCTGCTGCTTTTATACTTTAATAAAGAAAAATAATATTTTACTATTAAGTTAAAACTGAAAATTAAGGCTCCAATTATGCCCACTTTTATTGGTTTTTCCATGAAATATCCAATAGTAATGCAACAATGTTAAATTTTAATGTTTTTTCCCTTGAAAATTAGAATAGCAAGGTTGTACAAAGAGATAGCATAAAAGCAATTGACCAGAAATTGAAAAGTCATTGCAGAAACCTTTAGAGCAGCTAAGGATTTATTATCAAAGTTGTAACCATGGCATTATCTTTCAGTGGCTTTATATCTTTCTTGTTATGCACTGTAAGACTTAATGAGCATATGCCATTCTGTTTAAAATGCCATCGCAATAGCTACCAATTTACATGCATGTATAAGTGCCGTGCAGAGGTATAGAAAGTGTAGTTTTAGATCAGACCAGCATAATTATAAAGGTTACAGAATACTAGTGATAACAGTTTTTATAAACTAAGAAAAAACAACAATCATGAAGATGTTTACAACACCTGAAAAAAGAACAGCTTTTACAGGGCATAAGCTTTTCCAGAAGATAAGAAATATGGTGGTCTTTAAGTTGTCTTCCAAACACCATCTGTACTCTTTTTTTAATGTCTGCTGAGATATCTGAGTATTGCAGCTATTCATAAGAATATATGGAAGATAAAGTGATAAATTATCCCTTAATGTAAAATGCTTACTGTGAAAATATGCAAATCAGCAGTCACCTGGTTATTTCTATATTTTGAATAAATAATACTGAATTGAAAGAATTTTTTCATTGCTATGCTTTATATCTACAGTAAAGCCAATTCTTGATTCCTGTATTATCAGTACCTTGTAGTTAGATCACCAAAGAGACTTAAATAGGCTTCCATATATTCAGAAATCTTTGCTGGATATATTGACCATCAGTTGTATGAGTGAAATGTGCTATACCCAGACAAAGATATCCATTATAGTTTTATTTTTTTAAAAAAACATACAGCTCATCTGCTGTTTTATTCACTGCTGCTGTGAAAATTATTTTGCTGCAAAACAGCAAAAATAAAGTTGTCTTTGTAAGTGAAAAAAAATCTGCACTACATCAGTGCAACTGGCATCTACCATAATTATTTATCTGGGGATTTCTGGCTACATTAAAGAAATTACAGAATAAGAGCCAATAATTTTCACAGTAGCAGTGAATAAAGCAGCAGATGAGCTGTACGTTTTTTAAAAAAGTAAAACTATAATGGATATCTTTGTCTGGCTATAGCACATTTCATTCAAACAACCGATGGTCAATATATCTAGCCAAGATTTATTTGGCAGCCAAAAATCAGAATACATTTTACAGCCTCTTTTCTGACTAGCAATTTTTATTAAAAGTAGTTCTATTCATTTTAACAGTCCTACTTCAATCTAGCCATTCAATGCATCTGATGAAGTGAACTGTGGCTCACAAAGGCTTATGCCATTTAGTAAAACTTGTTAGAAGAGGATTTAGCAGACACCTTCTGATTTTTTTTTGGGGGGGAGGCTAAATTAAAGCCTCTTTATAATCACCCTGTGTTAACTGGGTCACTGTCTATCTGCTCTGAATGGACTTTAAATTTATTTTCTCTGCCTCTTCTTTCTCCCTTTGTTTCTCTTCTTGGTTGGTGCCTCTCACATATTTCAGGAACAAATAATCAATACTGCTGTTCATCAGCCAATAGTAAAGTCTGTATCATTCTCTGAGTTATATGTTTTAGCCTCCAGACTTCTAATCATCTTTGTTGCTCTTCTAGAATCTCAACATCTTTTTTACATTGTGGTGACCAAAACTGGATGCAGTATTCCAAGTGTGGCCTTACCAAGACATTGTAAAGTGGTATTAATACTTCACGTGATTGGGATGTTAATCTGCTATAGAATTTGCCTATTTCAGTTCTTAAAAAGACAGCAGGGATAGTTAGCAGAAGGTGAACAATTCATAAAACTTCAAAAAGCAAAGTAAGTCTTGCTGACCAAAAAGGGGAGAAATATACTGTATATTGTGACAAATGGTTTGGTTTAAATTTCTAACTGAAGTGAAGATTCAGCTAGCTGTAACTTTCAGCTACATATCTGGATTAATTTAAAATTGAATTAAAAGAAGCTGTGACATTCCCCAAGGTTTGTGTCTATTGTCAAATGATCTCTTGCTCTCCGTATGTTCCCCACTTAAATTCCAATGTTATGAATAAATAAATGAATAAGCAAAATATCTTATTTGGGACCTGGACATGTCCATGATTTGTAGGTTCTCCTGGACTTACTGTTAAATGAAGGTTGTGATTAAGAGGGCCTTTATCCAACATTAGTTGGTGAGATAATGGTACTAGTACCCAAACCTGGCACAAGAGGATCTTGCAACAATGACTCAATTTTTGGTGGGTATACATAAACATGTGCATTGTGCTCTGGGATTTGCATTGAGTTCTTATCAGCTTCCATGTGCAATTCAAAGTGCTGATTCTATCAGGAGCAAAAGATCAGATTTACATGTCCAATTAAACTAATTTATTGCTACTCATGCCTTTGCACAGGAATATTCTCAAAAATGGTTAGCATCTTGGAATTAGATAAGATTCAGTGGAAATCAAGGGAGATTGGACTTGGTTCGCTTGTAGCTACGTAGAGATTCTAGGCCACAGGTCGGCAACCTGCGGCTCCGGAGCCGCATGCGGCTCTTTGAGCCTTCCCATGTGGCTCCCAGCCTCCTCTGCCTTTGCAGAGAGAGACAGAGACAGAGAGAGGCAATTGCGCTTCCCTGCTTCTCTCTCTCTCTCTCTCTCTCTGTGTGTGTTTGTGTTTTTGTGTGTGTGTGTGTGTGTGTGTCTGTGTGTATGTGTAAAAGAGAGTGCACTCACAGTATTCTCCGAGGAGCTGAAAAGCTTACTGGGCGGAGCTCCTCCCTTTGCTGCCTCTCTGCAGGAAGCAGGAAGCAGGAAGGGCAGGAGAGAGCTAGCTAGCCCAGCTAGGCTGACTCAGGAATTCTGGGAGTTGAAGTCCATGAGTCATAAAAGAGACAAGGTTGCTTGTTGGACAACAGCTTGAAGCTTGCCAGGTGAGCAACAGATAGGAGGGGGGGGGGAGAAAGAGAGAGAGAGAAAGAGAGAGGGAGGGAGAGAGAGAGAGGAAAGAGAGAGAGAGAAAGAAAGAGAGCGGGGGAAGAGGAGTGGCAGACCAAGGGCAGATAGAGAGGGAGGGAGAGAGAGACAGACAGAGAGAGAGAGAGAGAGACCCTTTTGACATCTAAAATGAAGATAACACTGCATATATCCTTTTTTTACCTGTGTATGTGTGTGTGTGTGTGTGTATATATACACATATACATATATATACACACACAGATACACACAGAAACACACACACACACCTATAATAAAGGTAAAAAAGGATATATGCAGTGTTATCTTCATTTTAGATATCAAAAGGGTTTTGCGGCTCCCAGTGTTTTGTTTTTGGTGGGAAACGGGTCCAAGTGGCTCTTTAAGTGTTTTGGGTTGCCTACCCCTGTTCTAGGCTGATCTCTCTTTTAACTCTTCCCCCAATTTCTGCCAGTCCTTTTCCTATAGACTGTCACTTTCAAAGTCCTGAATGCCTTGCCTACTGAAATATCTCCAGAAATGTCCTTTCTATCCAGTTTTGATCTGCCTAAATCAGAGCTTCCAGGGGAAACTGCTAATGGCAACCTAGCAAAACCAAGAAAGCAAAAACAATAAGACTTTCAGGAAGGTAGCTAATCTGGGATAAATACTCTTTTTTAAAAATTAAGAGCATTTTCTCAGTCTCTGTCTGAGTAATAAAGGTAGGGTCTCTTTGAAAATATTTTTGTTTTCACATTTCTAAGAAGCTGATTTTCTAACATGCTTCTTCTGAGATAAACATCCTATTCCTATCAGCCATACATAGTAAATCAGACTAAGAAACCAATGGCATATAGGCCAAGAGCACATCAATTGTAATAGCTATAGTAAAAGAAGCTTGCACCTCTGAATGTCCTTCCCTCCCTTTTTCTTCAGGGAAGGAACTCAACTAAGACATTCATTCAAGTAAGGTTCTTAGCCCAGGTCTTGGAAGCCATTCTTTCTCCTGTCCTTCAAGGTGATTCTCTTTTCTGTCTGCAGTTCCTCATCTTCTACAAATTGTTGCAGCTAATAGTTATTCACTATTGCTAGGTAAGAGAAAAAACAAACTCACCTTTTTTGTTGCTGTAATGATACTCCAGAAAATCCAATCCTCTGTCCAACTTTTAAGATTTGGCAATTATTAAAAAAATGGAGTTATTTAAGAGGGTCTTTGATAAATAATGTCATCTACTTATTTACTGTACTATTTGCAGGTTATCAGTTTTTGAATGGCTTTATACTTATTCTGAATTTATAACCATATTGTAATGTTAAATTAAGATTTATATATTTAGTTATACAATTTCTATGACCTACTGAAGTTATTGGAGCCATGTTTGTAATCTACTGCTAATATTTCAATTCCACCTGACTGAGAAGGAAGGAAGGAAGGAAGGAAGGAAGGAAGGAAGGAAGGAAGGAAGGAAGGAAGGAAGGAAGGAAGCAGTGGTGGGATTCAAATATGTGAACAAGTGGTTCTCTGCATGGATGCCGCTTCCGGAAGTCAATTCTGGGCCTGGGCAACAAAAAATTAGCTACCGGTTCTGCCAAAGTGGTGTGAACTGGCTGAATCCTACCACTGTAATGAAGGAATGGAGGGAGGGAGGAAGGAAGGAAAAGGGAAGGAAGGAAATATCATTTTTTGAAGCTCTTTCCCCCCCCATAGACAGGAATGATGCATTCTGATTTCCAACCTAGTACGAGGGCAAACTGAAATTTAACCAATAAAAGGGCTGTAAAATTACCATCAAATATGTTCAATGAGTTATATTTTGTAAATTAAACTGCAAATGGTTTTGAGTGATTCACACACTATTACGAGGGCTTGAGGGGACATTGTTTTCCTACTCTTTAGAACTTTCTGAATGCATCCACTGTAATGGATTTCTTTTGGATGTATAATACAAAAATGCCAAGAAGCAGTACTATTCTATAGAGTATCTCTATTTAATAAACCACAAAATTGACTTTTTTTTGACAATGAATGGCATATAATTTGCTTATGTCCTCTCATATCTGTTGGTAAAAGATGTCATATGCAGGTATTTTTTTGTTCTTTGCTTCCCTAAAATAGATCAAGCCTAGAATGAGGTTAATTCAATGCCCACAGGAAATTAATGTGGCCCCTAATCTGCTTTATGCACTCTTTTTTTATCATAAATATATAGGGTTATCGCTGCATGCATACTATTGCTTTATTTCCTTGGAATGCATTGCTTAGTGACAACCAAAGTTTATATAAAGATTTTTGTTCTTTCTTGATAAAATCTTCATGCAATCATATCCCTGGAAAATATGCATCTCATCACTACTGATCTCATTAACTTACAGCTAAACTTCATTCCTATCACTGAAGATTTGTGTTTCTTTGTAAATGAAATTCTTAATATGTAGAACTTTTGTTCACAAAAATGCCCCCAAGACATTTTACTGGCAGTAGATAAACATGTGCATAATACTCTAAATATATTTTAAAATATTTGTTAAGTAACATTCAAAAGCTTCTCACCTTTTATTTCTACATGATGATGTTAAGTAAATGTAGGTACATTTTGTATCCGTGCCTAAAACTTGGGCTAAATGGCAGATAGGCAGTAGACCTGGGTGGAGAGGACAGGTTAAAAATATGTGTGGGAAACTGGCTTGAAAAATGAAATGAAATGAAACGGATGCTATGGAGACAAGGAGAGTCAGAAGTCAGAAGAAAAACAAGCTGTAACCCTGTGAGATTTTTTGGGGTCTTGTGGCAGATTAATATGATGCTAAGTGTTTGGTGCTTTGCTTTGCAGCCTGCCCACTTCCTATTTTCTATCTGTAATTAAAAGCATCATGAGAAAAGTCAGGAAATGCAGTGAATCGGATGGCCACCAAGGGACTGAATGGGAGAATATGATGATGATGATGATGATGATGATGATGATGATGATGATGATAATAATAATGACATTGGCATTGACAAATTTGCCATTAGTCAATTGCAAAAGGTGGCCTTACTAGGAACTGCTTCCATCCTGCGACGATATCTGTAATACCATCAAACATCCACATCTGCCTATCCCAGGTCCTGGGTAAGGACTCGATAGGTAGACAAAATGCCAAATCCAGTCTGAACATCTGGCTGACTGTGTGATGATCCATAATAATAATAATAATAAAATAAACCAACTAATGTACAGCACAGCTGCAGTTATAACTGAATACCTGGGATGCAAAATCAACAAAGAAGAAAAAGCAAACAAACAGTGCACCACAAAAATGGAAGGTTAGACTACAAAATAAGATCAGCAAATTAAGGTCACATGCAAGCAAGCTAGAACAGGTGAAAGAAAAGAAGCTGAAGAACAAGAAGACCAAAGAATACCTAATCAAGAAATACCACTTAGAAACAAGGAAGATCAAGGAAGCACTGGAAATAATAAAGCAACAAATAACAGCTATAGCCATGAAAATCAGTAGATATGAAGCTCGAATTGCAAACTATAGGCAGAACCTCCAATTTCAATCCAATCAGAAACGTTTCTACCAATCCATCAATGGAGAAACTGCAAGGAATCAGTCAGTACCTGACAAGGAAGAAACAGTGCAGTTCTGGAAGCAGATATGGGATAACCCAAAGAAATACAACAAGGATGTGGCTTGGTTAAAAGAGGTGGATGCAAATAAAACAGAAGTTGAAATGAAAGAACTAGTAATAACAACAAAAATGGTAGAAAAAAGAGCAAAGAAAATCAAAAATTGGTCAGCACCAGGTGAAGATGAACTGCATGGGTTTTGGTTGAAACATCTAACTGTTATACACCCACTCATTGCCAAGCAGTTCAACAATATACTACAAGGAGGAGAAATTGAAAAGTGGCTAACAACTGGGAAAACCTACCTAATAATGAAAAATCCAGCAAAAGGGGCAACACCAGGCAACTACAGGCCAATTACCTGCTTACCAACAACTTTCAAATTACTAACTGGTGTGGTAGCTGATGCAGTACAACAGCATCTAGTTGAAAACAATCTCTTTCCACCTGAGCAGAAAGGAAACCGCCCCAATAGCAGAGGAACAAAAGATCAACTCCTAATAGACAAAATGATCTTGGAAAACTGCAAGAGAAGGAAGACCAACCTGAATGTGGCATGGATTGACTACAAAAAGGCGTTTGACTCTCTGCCACATGATTGGATAATCAAGTGCCTAGAAATAACAGAAGTCAGTAGAAACATCAGAAAATTTGTGCAAAGATCGATGGCACAATGGAAGACACAGTTGCAGATCAATGGTGAGAAGCTGGGAGAGGTTAATATCAAGAGAGGAATATTTCAAGGAGATTCATTATCACCATTACTATTTGTTATTGCACTGTTTCCTCTGTCAACAATACTGAATAACTCAGGACATGGCTATCAAACATCAAAAACATCTGCCAGACTATCCCATCTCTTTTACATGGATGATCTGAAGCTGTATGGAAAAACATCATCTGAAATAGAATCGCTGCTCAACACTGTCCGTATATATAGCCAGGATATTGTAATGGAGTTTGGCTTGGACAAATGTGCCACACTTATTATCAAAAAAAGGAAAAATAGTGAAAACTGAAGGAATCAAGATGCCCCACAAAAATAACATTAAGAGTCTGGATGAGGGAGATTATTACAAATACTTGGGTATCCTTCAAGCTGACAACATCAAGCACACTGAAGTCAAGAAAAAGATTAGAGGTGAATACATCAAGAGAGTGAAGAAGATCTTAAAGTCCAAACTCAATGGAGGAAATACCATAAAGGCAATCAACACTTGGGCAATTCCAGTCATTAGGTACACAGCTGGAATAGTGGACTGGACTCAAGCAGAACTAAAAGCAATGGATAGGAAGACCAGAAAAATAATGACAATGAATCATGCCCTTCATCCACGCAGTGACATTGACAGACTTTATCTACCAAGACAAATAGGTGGGCGTGGAATGCTACAAGTACATCAGATGGTTGAAGAAGAAAAAATGGCTTTGGAAGAATATCTGAAGGACAATGCTGAAGATGCACTGAAATTAGTATATCAGGAAGGCTTATTGACTACTGGAGAGACCAAAAGACCTACAAGAAAGACCAAATGAAGAACAGAATAGAGGCATGGGAAGACAAAGCACTACATGTCCAATACGTTAAAAAAAATAGCTGGGAAAGCAGATAATAACAAGACCTGGCAATGGCTAAGAGCAGGAAAATTGAAGAAAGAGACCGAGGGACTAATTCTGGCTGCACAAGACCAAGCCTTAAGGACAAATGCATATAAAGTCAAAATTGAGAAGACAGCAACAGACAGTAAGTGCCGCCTATGCAAAGAAGCTGAAGAAACAGTGGACCACCTTGGTAAGCTGTTGCAAGAAGATTGCACAGACTGACTACAAGCAGCGGCATGACAAAGTAGCAACAATGGTGCATTGGAAGATCTGCAAAAAATATCATTTGCCTGTAAGCAAAAACTGGTGGGATCATAAAATAGAGAAAGTCATAGAAAATGATAAAATTAAACTGCTCTGGGATGTCAGAATTCAAACAGACAAGCACCTGCAACATAACACCCCAGACTTAACAATTGTCGATAAGAAAGACAAAAAAGTCTGGATAGTGGACGTGGCAGTGCCTGGAGATAGCAGAATAGACGAGAAAGAACTGGAGAAGATAACAAAATACAAAGACCTACAAATAGAAATAGAAAGACTGTGGCAAAAGTAAGCAAGGGTAGTACCAATAGTAATAGACTCCTTGGGTGCAATCCCAAAACAACTGGAGCACCATTTGAACACCATTGGCATTGACAAATTCGCTATTATTCAATTGCAAAAGGCAGCCTTACTAGGAACTGCTTCGATCCTGCAACGATATCTGTAATACCATCAAACATCCACATCTGGCTATCCCAGGTCCTGGGTAAGGACTCGATAGGTAGACAAAATGCCAAATCCAGTCTGAACATCTGGCTGACTGTGCGATGATCCATAATAATAATAATAAAGTTGGAAGGGACCTGGGACGTCATCTAGTCCAATCCCCTGGTCAGGCAGGAAACCCTATACCATTTCAGACAAATGGCTGTCCAGTCTTTTCTTAAAAACTTCCAGTGTTGGAGCATTCACCGCTTCTGGAGGCAAGTTGTTCCACTGGTTAATTGTTCTAACTGTCAGGAAGTTTTTCCTTAGTTCTAGGTTGCTTCTCTCCTTGATTAGTTTCCATCTGTTGCTTCTTGTCCTGCCTTCAGGCCCTTTGGAGAATAGTTTGACTGTCTCTTCTTTGTGGCAGCCCCTGAGATATTGGAACACTGCTATCATGTCACCCCTTGTCCTTCTCTTCATTAAACTAGACCTACCCAATTTCAGCAACCGTTCCTTATATGTTTTAGCCTCCAGAACTCTAATCATCTTTGTTGCTCTTCTAGAGTCTCAACATCTTTTTTACATTGTGATGACCAAAACTAGATGCAGTATTCCAAGTGTGGCCTTACCAAGGCATTGTAAAGTGGTATTAATACTTCACATGATCTTGATTTTATCCCTCTGTTAATGCAGCCTAACACTGTGTTGGCTTTTTTGGCAGCTGCAGCACACTGCTGGCTCATATCTAAGTGATTGTCCACTAGGACTCTGAGATCCCTCTCACATTGCTACTATTGAGCAACACTATACTTGTGTTATATAGTTTATACTTGTCTAAAATCAATTTTGTCAGCCTTCATTCTTTACAAAATAACTGTTGGAAGGGACCTTTGAGGTCTTCTAGTCCAACACCCTGCTCATGTAGGAAATCCTATACCAGGGGTAGGCAACCTTGGCTCTTTTATAACTTGTGGACTTCAATTCCCAGAATTCCTGAGTCAGCATGGCTGGTTCAGGAATTCTGGGTATTGAAATTCATTAGTCATAAAAGAGAGAAGTGTGCTCTATCCCTGCCCTATACCATTTCAGACAGTGGTGGGATTCAAATATGTAAACAACCAGTTCTTTGTGTGGATGCTCCTTCCGGAAGTCCATTCTGGGCCTGGGCAACAAAAAATTAGCTACCGGTTCTGCTGAAGTGGTGCAAACTGGCTGAATCCCACTGATTTCAGACAAATCTACTTAGTGCATTTACTTTGTTCTTTGTTCTACATCTATATTTTAAAAGAATTCTAGCTGCATTTCAAATATATTCCCAAATATTTAGTTAATTGAAAGAACTGATGCTGGTTTTTTTTCCCCTCTGCTTAGCAGGGGAAAAAAAGGTTGAAATGCCGGGTGTGTTCAGTCAAGCTCTCTCATCAACTCCCAGGACAGCTCTGATAGAAGACACACAAAATTGACTTCTGGGAGAGAAAGGATAGCAGTGGTTGAAATGATTTTAGTATGAAAGTTGAATAGTTTTGAAGTTAGTGATTGTTAAACAATAAGAAAGAAAATAGAAAGAAAATAAACTCAAAAAAGAAGCCAAGCTCACAAAGCTAAGATAAAAATCACACAATTATGGAACAACAGGAAAAAAAATATTAAATTAGATGGTTAAACTTCTAGTGTTTTACTGTATTGCTATAAAGCAGGGGTTCCCAACTGGGGGTTCTTGCACCCCCTGGGGGTGTGAGACAATATTCCAAGGGGCGCAAAAACTTGGGTTTCAAAATTATAGTGTATATGCTTAGTTCGTTGTTATCTTGAACTTTTGTAAGGAGTGCAAGAATATATCAAAAGCATTCTAGGGTGTGGGGTATAGAAAAGGTTGGGAACACTGAGATTATTGTAATATAACCCTTTATTCCTTCCCTTTATTATTTAGTTTTCTTGTTTCTGTTACTTTATTTGGGGATGTTTAATTTTAGGCTTTACTCAGTTTTATTTTTACACAATGGGGACTTGTCAGTATAACTTGTCATTTAATTATGATTGCTAATTTTCAGGAATACTTATGTAACTATTATCCAAGTGACTATGGTTTTAAGATTGGGCAATGCTGTTATAATGGAGGTGGGAACATTGTAACATTATAACATTGTAACTATCAAAATTTTACTTATATTTCACAATTTTTAGGCACTATGTCCAGGGTTTTAAATTATAGGTAGTCCTCAACATACAACCACAATTGAGCTGAAAATTTCTGTTGCTAAGTTAGGCATCTGTTAAGTGAGTTTTGCCCCATTTTATGACCTTTCTTGCAACAGTTGTTAAGTGAATCACTGCACTTGTTAGATTAGTAACACAATAGTTAAGTGAATCTGGATTTCCCATTGTTTTTGCTTGTGAGAAGCTTGCAAAAGGGGATACCATGACCCCAGGACACGGTAACTGTCCTAAATATGAACCAATCGCCAAACATCCGAATTTTGATCACATGGCCATGGGGCTGCTCTAATGGCTGTAAGTGTGAAAAATGGTCATAAGCAGTGGTGGGATTCAGTCAGGATTCGGCAGAACCGGTAGCTAAATTTTGCTGTATTCGGAGAACCAGCTGGCTTCCAGAAGTCCAGTCTAGGCCTTGGAGTCCTGGAGGAGGCCTCCAGGCCTGAAACGGCCCATCAGAAGTGCATGGATTCCACTTCTGGAAGCCCATTCTAGGCCTCAGAAGCCCCTGCCTGCATCGAATAAGAGAACAGTTGTTTAGGTATTTGAATTCCACCACTGGTCATAAGTCATTTTTTCAGTGATGTAACTTTGAACGGTCACTAAATCGAGAATTACCTGTATATCCAAATGCAGCTTGTCATAACAATCTGCTTGAGAGGGACAAATGTATTAGATATATTCAGCAGTCAAAATATTTCATATGCATTAGTTCAATAATCTTCACAAGTCTAATTTTCACAATGCTATTGATATATCTGAAATTACAGTGGCCAAATCAGTGCCCTCCTGAATCATTTTAGGAATGCAAATGGAAACCCTTTCAAACAATGTGGTGAGGGCTAATGGTAAAAGCTGGCATTGTGACTGTATCCTTTAATGGACAATGAGAGGCCAAGTGCAGACCACAGTCATTTCTTCCATAAGTAGACACACTAAAAAACCAACTGGATGGTTTCAGCTGTTAAAAGCATTACAAAGGATGGAAGGGCAAGTTACAAATGAAGGAAATATCTTTCCTAAAAACTCGGATAATTGGGGAATTTTCCATGGCAGAGCTTTAATCTGTGTCATTTCAGAACAAGGATAATTTAAGGCTATGTTAATGGACTCAGCTTTTTTTTTAAAAAAATGCTCTTTTTTCATAACCTTGGTTCTCAAACTGTAAAAACAGGTCATTTTGGAATCATTTCCTGGATGTTAATTTACACACGGTTTTAATAATAATAATAATAATAATAATAATAATAATAATAATAATAATAATAATAATGATAATAATAATAATATATTAATGATAAATCCTCTCTTTTTCTAGCTTTCTCTTGATTGAAGCGTGACATAAAATGCTACAGCAGCCTGGCTTTTCAAAATGGTTAGCAATAAGCATTGCAGTTTCAGTTGCCTTCATAGATTGCTTGGCCCAGAATGATGATGGTAAGTGTTTGCTTTTTTTTTTCCTTGTTACTAAACATTTTTATATAAAGTCCTATGAAACAAAGAAATTATTGGAACAAGCATAACAAATACATTGCAAGTTTCTTTTCCATATCCTAGATTACTCTGTGAGAACATTCTAAATCTCCAATGGCCAAAGAGTTATTACAGAGCCAATAAGGAGCATATCAGCTCTTTACAGCAGTGGTCCCCACCCTTTCCGGTTTTGCGGACCAGCGGGGCGGGGGAGAGGAAGGTTCCATGCGAGCATTTGCGTGAGAAGCAGGCACTTGTGTGCATGCATGAAGCTCAATTTGTGCCAGCGGCAGGCACGTCCAGAACTCACACAAGTGGAACTTCACACGTGCGCATGAGTGCCTGCCGCTGGCACAAATTGAGCTGCTCGAATGCACATGCCTGCTGCTTGCATGGCCCAGTTCTGGGGACTCCTGCTTTACAGTGCCATAGCCTTTATCTGGAATGTAATAGGGATAATCTGTTATCATCTGTTTCTTTGTTTTAATATTATTATTGCCACTGTTGACAGAAGTGTAAATTAAGATTTCCTATGCTGGTATTTGGTGAACCTCATCAGGAGGCATCGATTTTCTATACAATGGGGATTTAAATCTGAATAATTACAAGCAAATATAATTGTTATAAAATATCTAAAAAGGTTAGCAGAAATAGTATGGCATACTGTTCAAAATACACAAACTACTTATCTATGGTCAAGTAAATAAAATCAGATTGTTCCCATAATAACAAGATTAAACAAGTAAGAATGACCAAGACATTTAGTAAAAAAATAGAAATAATAATTCCTGTGTGGTGGGGGTGGAGGGTGGGGGAATACAGAATAATTAATTCCAACATTTGAATGTTTCCCTCCACTGCATAGACATAGTCTCTGTTCAAAGGGGATATTTAGTATCTCCTTTCAGTAAAAGCTGTTGGAAGGACATTGAATCTGACTAAAGATAAAGACCTGAATTTTGGTTGGTTGGAGAAGATGTGCAGAAAGGTTCAAGAAGATGTTTCTGAGTAGAACAGAAAAACCTGTTTGCGGCTCTTAAGTCAATGGGCTGCTATTTGAGAGGATCTAGTGCACATCCATAGCCCATCAAGCCATAAAGTTAAATTTAGCATGTACTGCCTGGCACCCAAAAGACTGAAAGCTGTTGGTCATAATTAAAGGGATCAAGCTGGCTGGAAAAAAAAGAAATAGAAAAAAAATTAAAATCTGGACAGAAGTTTTGATTTTATGTAGGCCAGCTTCATAGCAAAATGTTCAAAATGCAAAATGAGCTGCTTGAAAAAATTGTTCTCAAAAACTTGGATTGAATTTTTTCCAAAGGAAGCAATAACCTTTAGAAACATATCCCCCACCTTCTCATCACCTAACTGTTATTTGGAATACTCCTATTGCTAAAGAATAATGATTTCAAAATGGTAGTCAGCTTCTTCAAGACCACACAGCATGAAACAATACATGTTGTTTTCGTTGCCTAACTTCTATGAAATGTGGCAGAAAGAATTTGACATAGAAGAATTTCTTCCTAGAACCTTTCTATGCAGAGATTACATTGCATTCTTAATAACTAACAATAGATAGCAGCATCCATTCTTGAATCAGCATATCAGAAGATGTGTGTGTGTGTGTGTGTGTGTGTGTGTGTGTGTGTGTGTGTAATGGTATAAAATCCTCGAACTCTGGGATGAACTTTGAAACAGCTATTTATTGTTAAAACAATAAAAGCAGCACCTAAAAATCGACTGTCTTGGCTTTCGCTGATCCACTGCCAGCGTCATCAGAGTAAGCATTTGGGGTGGGGAGTTTGCTTATAAACCCAGTTGACTCCGTACTCTACCTATTGATCACGTAATGGAGAGCGACAGGATGGCAGACGAGGAGAGGCGAGAAAATTAGAGCAATTACGGTCAGTTAGAATAGGCAGTCTCATCACATGATCAATGGGTAGAATACGGAGTCAACTGGGTTTATAAGCAAACTCCCCACCCCAAACGCTTACTCTGATGATGCTGGCAGTGGACCAGTGAAAGCTAAGACAATCATTTTTAGGTGTTGTAAATAGTTGCTTTTATTGTTTTTATTATTTTAACAATAAATAGCTGTTCTCAAAGTATATCCCAGAGTTCGAGGATTTTATACCATTACACAAATATGCCCGGGATTCGCATTTTTATAGTTATTAGGGATATTATATATATATATATTCTGAGGTTTTCGCGGGTGCTTGTATGTAGGTCTTTGGTTATTCGAGTTTTCCCCCACGTAAAATTGGAAGTGTTTTGGCGACGTTTCGACGAAGTCTCATTCGTCATCTTCAGGCTGGTGCTTTCGGCTTCGTGCTTCTAGGAGCAATGTGTGATTGTAGCTGTTTCCTCCTTTTAACTGCCAGTGGGGGTATGAAATGATTGGATGAGAGATTGGCTGTGTTCTGATTGGATGGAGGTGTGTTCTGATTGGTTAGGAGCTTGGCTGTGCTCTGATTGGCTGGTGGGTTGGCTGTGCTCTGATTGGCTGGGGGGTTGGCTGTGCTCTGATTGGCTGGGGGAGTGTTCTGTTTGGGTGAGGGCTTTGTTGTGCTCAGGTTAGTCTGAGTTGCAGGGGGGGTTAAAATGGTGAACTGCATTGCTATTTTTTGGCTTTGCGTTCGTGGTCGTGCCTCATCTTCATGGTGGGTGTCAGTTTGCTTCATGTATGGATTGGAGGGGTTTAAAGTGGCTAATGATGCAACTGTGGTCTGGCTTCTGGTTTGTGGTTGTGCCTCATCATCGGTGTAGCTTTGGGTTTGCTTTTTGCGTGGATGTGTGGTGGTGACATCCTGTGTGGTTTTTGTGTGTGGGGGTCTGGTGTCATTTTTTGTGTTAGGGAGTCGTTTGTCAATAAGGGCGGGTTTCCAAATGGCTGGTAGGTGGGAGGTATCATCTTGTTTGTTCATGCTGTGTGCGCGTTTTTCTATCTCGATGGCTTCTCTGATTATTCTGTTATTAAAATGTTCAGTTTTGGCGATAGTTCTGGTCTTTTTAAAGTCAATTTTATGTCCTGTGATTTTAAGGTGTTGGACCAGGGAAGAAGTTGGTTCCTCTTTTTTGACTGAGTTCTTATGTTCTTCAATGCGTGCACTTATTCTTCTGTTGGTTTGTCCGATGTATGTGGTGGGACAAGTGGTGCATGGGATTTCGTATACTCCTTGATTTTCTAATTCAATTTTATCTTTGGGGTTTCTTAGGATGGTGGATATTTTTCTGTTTGGGCAGAATGCTGTCTTAATGTTGTGTTTGTGGAGGATCTTACTGATTCTGTCTGTGGTGCCTTTTATGTAAGGGAGGAGGGCTTTGCCGTTTTCTTGTTCTCTGTCTTGGGTTTTAGTGGGGGTTTCTTTTTGGATTAGTTTGGTAATCTTATTTCGTTGGAATCCATTGGATGTAAGTACATTAGTGAGAGTGTGTAGTTCGGTTTTTAGGTGTTGTTCATCAGCTAAGCGTTTTGTTCTAGAGATGAGTGTCTTGGCTACGGAGTTGATCTGTGCTGGGAGGTGGTGTGAGAGAGCATGCAGATAGTGATTTCTGTGTGTTTTCTTCTGGTAGATGGTGTGTCCTAGGGAGCCATTGGATTTCTTGTAGACTAAGACATCTAGGAAGGGAAGTTGGTTATTAGCTTCTGTTTCCATGGTGAACTATATTTTGGGGTGTAGGCTGTTGAGGTGTATGAGGAAGTTGTCCAGTTTTTCTTTCCCATGTGGCCAGATTATGAAGGTGTCGTCTACGTATCTGAGCCAGAGTTTGGGTTTGTGTTCAGATTTTTCTAGAACTTGGGTTTCAAAGTGTTCCATGTAGAGGTTTGCAATGACAGGTGAGAGGGGTGATCCCATGGGTGCTCCTTCTATTTGTTTGTATTTTTGTCCGTTATAGATGAAGTATGTGTTGGATAGACAATGGTTGGTCAGATCTAGGATGTGTTTTGGGGGGTTATATTTGTTTTGGATAGCTGTCAAGGCCTCTTTGATTGGCACTTGGGTGAACAGGGATATGACATCGAAGCTCACGAGTAGGTCGCTGGGCTGTAAGTTTTGTTTCTTTATGATCTCTAAGAAATGGAAAGAATTTTTTATGTGTGAGGTGATGGATTCTGCATAGGGCTGTAGTTGTTTGGCAAGAAATTTGGATAGGTTTTGTAGAGGTGAGCCTATGGAGCTGACTATGGGTCTAAGTGGGGTTCCTTCTTTGTGTATCTTGGGGAGACCATAGAGCTTAGGGCATCTGGATGATTTCTCTCTGGGAATGATTCTTTGCTGGATCTCTTCGCTAATGGGGGAGGCTTTTATTTTGGATCTGGTGGTTTTTTCCAGGTAGGTGGTGGGATCTGTGTTTAGGGGTTTGTATGTAGAGTCTTGGAGTAGGTTGGTTAATTTGGTTTGGTAGTCAGATGTGTTCATAACCACCGTGGCATTGCCCTTGTCTGCTGGTAAGATTATTATGCTGGTGTCTTCTTTCAGGTTACGTAGTGCTGTCTGTTCCTCTTTGGGTAAGTTGCTTTTGGGTGGCTTGCTGGTGCAGAGGATGTTGGTGATTTCGAGTCTGATTCTGTTAGCGTCGTTGGGGTTGATTTTGGTCAGGCTGGTTTCAACTCTACATATAATGTTTTCAGTGGGTATGTGTTTGGGAGCGATTGCAAAGTTGAATCCTTTGGAAAGGACATTGGTTTCGGCTTTGGTGAGAATCCTATCTGAGATGTTATGCACTGTTTGTTTCATGTGTGGCTGTGAGGGAGGAGGGGTTTGTTTCTGGCATTCTTGTAGTCTTCGGAGTTTGTTGGTGTGTGTGTCTGTCTTGAGGGTGGTCTGTGTTTCGGCTCTCCAGACGGCGAGTTGTTTGGATTTGTCCCAAAGTGCGGGGTGGATCTTGTTGCTGAGTTTGAGATGAAGTGTGAGGAGATCTTTGTTAATTTGGTCTAGGAGGAATCTTTTTGTGTG